ATTGTTTTGGCTGGTAGTGGGGTATTGTTGAGATTTTGGACTCTGGTCCGACAATCGTGGTTCTCTTTGTAATGAATACTGGCCTTTTCTCGGCCAAAGGATAAAAAGAAAATGAAGTAGAAAAAATGAAGGGGACAGAAACGAAGTAAAAAGCGAAGCAGAAAAGGGAAATGGAAGTACGAAAATATTTGTAATAGATAAGAAATGTTTCGGACCGTTAATTCGTATGCATTTCTCACCGTTACCACAACTGGACCTCGTCAGTACGACGATTCATCTATTTCGAGTACATCGCTTGCTAGCAAGGCTATCGATGGCTCCTTCTAAAACGAGCTGGTGGCGGTTTTGACCGTATGACAACTATTACTACCAATTTAGCATCGAAACGAACGAACGGATCGTAGAGCGATTAATCATCCCAGCTGATTTTTGTAATATGCAAAATTTATACACAATTAATGCGACTACTTACCTCAGCATTCCAATTGCTTCCGTCGCTCGCAAAAACTTCTGTACTGTCAGGTGGTTCCTTAATAATAACAGTATTTGTGGGTGTCTCCCGTCCTCTGAAAGTCCTAGTGTAGGCAAAAATTGCTTATACAACAAGAATATAAACATAATTTTAAAAAAACACTGTTTTTGAGCAAAGCGACTTATAAACAAAAGGTCGTCAGCCGTACAGACTTCTTTCTCGCGCGTTAGGTAACGCCCTAAAACCCTATCCAGGGCGATAGCGATGATGAGTTTATCACGAAGACTCAGGATATTAGCTCAGTGTTGGGTTCCATTGCATTTTCAGCTGTATACCGATGTAAATCTATTATTGTTGTTTTTAGTTTTATAAATCACCGGTTTGAGCAATTAATGACGAACTTCAAACTTACTAAGCTAAACCACATAGATAAATTGATTTCTTGAAATTTGAACAAAAAATTAGATTGGCAATTTGTTTTAAGATACTAAAAAACTGCAAAAATTGTGCAGAATCGGACTCAGAAAAAAAAATTGTGTCGGAGTTGTTGTAATATATCATATTATCAAAGCTGTTATTTCTTGTTTTTGCTAATAATTTACGTCCCTTTTCCCTTCTCAGTTCACAGTTTCACAGAGATTTTTGATTAGTACTGCTTAATAATATTTATCTGAGAGGCGCTAAACTGCACGCAGGAGAGCAGAAGCTTCAGAGCGAAAGCTGAGTTCAGCCATTAAAGTAATTAAAAGGTCACTTCTTTGCCGAGAAAAAAACAACAGTGTCTCAGATTTTGAGAAAATTACTCAACTCTGCTAAATTTCAATCTTCTGTTGCCTGCTTAGTTTCTAATATGCATAAGCTATAATTTCGAGCAGCCTAACCTGGCCATTAGCTTCGTGTTCTCGGCAACGACAGCGGCATATACCTCATTAAGCTGCTGATACTTTTCGTCTGCCATAATCGCTTCGTTCTCCAG